GAGCCCTGGCTACGGTGAAACGTCGGGAATCACGTTTCGAATCTGAACATCGTCGCATTTTGCGAAGACATTGTGCAAATTTGTGCAATAAGCGCAGATCGGGTGGGGGCGTCCCCGGGGAATTTTTTTCAGATTTCCCGGGGATTTTTTTTCAGGATACGGGGTCTATATAGCAAAACACATAAGGCCAGAAGCAGCAACCATGCGGAAAGGGTTCGCGCCCCTACCTTTTTATTTATTTTGTTTTTTTTTCTGCGTTTTGTTTTTTTTTTTGATTCTGTTGCGGGGCGTGTTGTTTGCTTGTTCCATGGCGCCAACCGGTGTATTCCTTGGCTTCCATTCATTTTCCAGAGTTTTAAACGTTTTTTGGGTGTTTAGTTTGCTTTTCACCGGTTTTTTTTTGGTTTTGAACGATTTTGTTTTGTTCTTGCCGTTTTTGGGCGTGTTTCCCGCGACTTGCATACGTCTGATCACTAGTGGCATGGACGGTTCTGTGTTGTTTGCCGTTGTATTCATCGTGCATCCACTGTGTTAAACCAACAGACATGATAGATTGATTGATTTATTCATAGATAGATAGATAGATGGTTAGATAGATAGATAGATAGATAGATATATAGATAGATAGATAGATAGATAGATAGATAGATAGATTAGATAGATAGATAGCTAGATAGTTAGATAGATAGGTAGATAGATAGGTAGATAGAATAGATAGATAGATAGATAGATAGATAGATAGATAGATAGATAGATAGATAGATAGATAGATAGATAGATAGATAGATAGATAGATAGATAGATAGATAGATAGATAGATAGATAGATAGATAGATGATAATCGATCGCTTAGATTAGATAATATAGATAGAATATAAGTTAGATGGAGATAGATAGATTTTGACGACAAGTTTGATCACATACGCTAAACAGAAGGTGGGCTGCATCATACACTTGCATTTTGTCACAAGCCGCGGGGGTGGCTCTAAATAAAAAGGCGGGAGGGGGGCGCGGGGGGGGGCGCAGCGGCGCATTCGACAAGGTAGGGGGCCTTATCATTCCACCCTTTGTGGCGATGTCACAGCATACAGCGGTAGCGTAATACTAGAACGTAGCAGTTGGTGGCGAAAGCAAGAAACATTTGTCGGCGTTTTGGTTTTGTCACAGCATGGCAGCAAAGCACGCACTTGAATTTTGACGACAAGTTTGATCACACACGCTTGAAACAGAAGGTGGGCCGTATCATACACTTGCATTTTGTGGTTTTGTCACAGCATGGCAGCAAAGCACGCACTTGAATTTTGACGACAAGTTTGATCACACACGCTTGAAACAGAAGGTGGTCCGTATCATACACTTGCATTTTGTCACAAGCCGCGGGAGGGTGGCTCTAAAATAAAAAGGCGGGAGGGGGGCAAAGCGTCACGTAGTCATGATACATTCATTCGCAATGTAGGTGGGCCTTATCATCCACCTTTCTGGCGTTGTCACAAGCCGCGGGGGGGGGCTTTCCTGGAAATGCAGTTTTGCATGGTATTTACAATGTCTTTTGCTTATGCACATGGATACGGGGGGTGGTATTGCAATCGCGCGCCATACTTATACAATGCTTGATTGGATACCTTCCTTGCTTGCTGCCTGGCTGGCTGTCTTGCTGGCTCCCTGCATGGCTTGCTCACCTTCTCGCTTCGCTGACTGCCGTGCTTCCTCCCTTGCTCGCTCGCTTGCTCGCTTGCTCGCTCGCTCGCTTGCTGGCTTGCTGGCTTGCTGGCTTGCTGGCTTGCTGGCTTGCTGGCTTGCTGGCTTGCTGGCTGGCTTGCTGGCTTGCTTGCTTGCTTGCTTGCTTGCGTGCTTGCGTGCTTGCGTGCTTGCGTGCGTGCGTGCTTGCTTGCTTGCTTGCTTGCGTGCTTGCTTGCTTGCTTGCATGCTTGCATGCTTGCATGCTTGCATGCTTGCATGCTTGCTTGCTTGCTTGCTTGCGTGCGTGCGTGCGTGCGTGCTTGCGTGCTTGCGTGCTTGCGTGCTTGCGTGCTTGCTTGCTTGCATGCTTGCTTGCTTGCTTGCTTGCGTGCGTGCGTGCGTGCTTGCGTGCTTGCGTGCTTGCGTGCTTGCGTGCTTGCTTGCTTGCTTGCATGCTTGCTTGCTTGCTTGCTTGCTTGCTTGCTTGCTGCCTTGCTTGCTTGCTTGCTTGCTTTCTGGCTGGCTTGCTTGCTTGCTTGCTTGGCTTGCTTGTTTGCTTGCTTGCTGGCTGGCTTGCTTGCTTGCTTGCTTGCTTGCCTGTTCCCTGCGTGGCCTGCGAATAGATTTCTGAAAAAAATTCCCCGGGAAATCTGAAAAAAATTCCCCGGAAAAATACGTACCCGTTTCTCAAGGTGCCTGTCCTTTTCTTGTAACGAGTCCAATCTGCCAATTATACACAATTATACCATATCCATATCCATTCATATCCAACCTTCCAAAGGGCTTAGATCACTTGCCACGGTAATCCAATTGAGATCAGTTGAGCACCTTCAGAAACACGCGGAGGCATTTTCTCTGGGTTCTAGTTGCGCTCCAGCTTTTCCGGTGGATTCTTGCCAGCTTGAGAGGTTCGGAACTTGTTCTCCATCCTGTCCAAATCGGGTGATGTCTCTCCAGTTAGTAGAGTAAAATGGAAGGCACATGTCCAAACTCCAAACATGTCGGTGTTGTCTCATGTTGTCTGTTTCCCTGTGTTGCATGATGTTTCATGGCATATCTGCCATATCCCATCCATATCCCATCCCTATCATCTCTTGAGATGAGCCGCTTGATGATGCGCTCGTTCAAAAGTTTCTTGTCGCTGTCTGACGGTGGGACCCTTGCAGCGAAACAAGCTGAAACATCTGAAACCAGACAAGAAAATACAAGAAATGCATCTCTTGAAGCCGCCGTAGCCTGACCCAACTGGTGACAAATTACTACGTGCATCTGCATCTTGCTTGCGACCAAGCATCTTCCCCTCGGCTTCCCACTGCTTCTGCCACGACCTGCATAGCCCCCGTTTGCAAACGTCTATCACAGTTGAGGCGGACCCAACAAACATGCAGTACAGAGTGCTGAAAATCTATGAAAATCTCACGTTCAGGCTGTAAAATCAGGTCACAGCTTATTCATGCTTATTCAACAACTCAACAACTCATCAACCGTGCCATGAAAATCATGAAACAACGATCTGTCGCTTCTGAGCCTGGCGTTCATGAGCATCTGCACGGCAAGGTGCTCAGTCGCAGGCAGGATTTTCCTCGGTGATGGTGCAATCGTGCTGCGGTAATGACACTATTCAGTCACTATTCACAAGAATTCACAAGAATTCCATGGGGTGATCTTGGATCTAGTAATTGTATCACCTTCAAGCATGTAGCCAGTGCAGATGAAGAAACATAAGTTGTTGCAAGTCGGACACCCCATTCGACCCTGAATCCCAGCGTCTCCTCCATATTCATGTATCTAATCATCTAATCATTATCCAATCATCCGCTATCACATCTATCACGCACCCACTCAGCCAGGCGTCATCGCCGCAAAAATCAGTGGGGAGACCAAGAACTCGATGAAACCGACCTGCCAACTGCCAACACTGTCCATCAACACGGTCCATATCGGTCCATCAATGTCCCCTGCCTGGGAGAAAGGCCGATTCACCGTGTTGCGATCGTTTAGGGCTTGCACGGGCCTAGGCTGAGACGGCCGAGACGGCCGAGATCAAAATACAGAGGTTGAGGTTGCCGCAGGATCCTGGTCCTGCAGGATCCCTGGTGACTTGGGGGCCCAACCCAGCTTGCAACAAACACATCTTTGAACATATAGAAAATCTACATCGAAAATCTACA